CCCCTGAGGCCTCACATCCGAACCCCTCGGTTGGGATCCCGCCTCACCGGGACGGCCGCGGTGCTGTTCACCTCCGGCCTGCGGGGAACCCTCCGGGCTTCCCCCTCGGGGAGGTCAGCGGGGGCGCAGCAGAGCAGCTATTTCACTGAGCCCATCAAACCAGCCGTACAGCAGTCTCCATGGAAGTAAACCGGGGCATGACGAGCAGCCTGGGGCACTTGTATCTCCTGGACCAGTTATTTATGTATTTATTTGATTCCATCAACTGCCAGCTGCATGCAGACAGCATACCGCCTCCTGGACAGGGACTCCTCAGCATCCTGAGTGCAGCACAGGACATCTGTCCGTACCTGCCCCTAGTTCCCGTCCCAGCTCTCAGTGCTGAGCAGCACCCGCACCTCTCCGCTAACGATATTATTTCACCTCTGAACAAAGACTTACAAACTTACACACAAATCTGTGAGCTCCCACTTCAACCCAGACAGCTGGAACCTTGAGCCACGCTGTCTGCTAGAAAAGTAAAAGTTGTGAATTCAGGTTTTGGATGCCAGTGTGGGTTTTTGGTTGGGTTTTTTTTTTTTTTAGTCTGGAACAGACCGCAGATATTATCTGGTCAATGTAATTCTCCTCCAGACTGACCTGGGGGCTGGCTACACACGCAGCAGGACCCGGTCTTCTCTTGTTCCCTGGCACACACCACCCGGCTGGCTGCTGCCTAGCCCAGCAGTACCGCAGGAGGCAGGTGAAAGCTCCCAGCCTTTAAGTTAGGATCTGTGATCATGAAGATGACCCAGCATCAGCCCTCCTGAGACTCCCCCACACCAATTCCAGGTGAAGCCGGACTTTCCCTTTATCCCTCTGTGTGATGACAGTCTGCCAGAGCCAGGACACGGTCTGCCACAGACAGATGGTGCCACGGCAAGGCAGTAAGCTCCTGCAGAACAGACCATGGGTATGTCTGCTCCGTTACTGACACCACTCCGGCGAGGCTCTTCCAGACATATTGGCAGAGCATCTACACAGAGCTGCCCTCAGGTCTGAAATATCCCCAGCAATTCCCATGGAAACATCCAAGCCAAGGCCCCAGCCTCGCTGCTAAGAGCCAAAAAGGCACAGACAGACACCAGTGTTTGACAGCTGAATGTGGGCACCTGGACACCCCTTTTCCAACAGCCATCACCAGTACCCCCTCCAGGGAGCAAGAGGTTTCTCCAGTAAAGAGAACCAGGTCATTTATTCACTTCATATTTATTTTTCACAAAGACTGTACAAAATTCTTATAAAACTCTGGTGTGGGGATGGGCTATGACATTGATCCAAAAAATAATTCCCATGCAGTCCCACCAGTTTCATAACTTACAAGGAAACAGATAAGCTACAGAGAGCTGTGAGTCCTGAAGTATTTACACTGAGGAGGGCAGGAGAGAACAGGAGACAAAGCAACACCTGAACAGAGGTATTTACAGTATGGACATACAGGCCGCCTCGCCTCACGATAATGGCAGCAGCAACAGCAGGTCAGGCCCGTGGTGCTCAGAGGCCGATATAGAATATGGGCTATTTACAGTATCTCACATATTAACAGCTTTACAAATGTGTCCAGGGAGTTCTCCTCACATATAAAAAAAGCACCAAGTGTCTGAATAGAAATCACACAGGCCTCCACGGGGGCTAGAATCTGAGGGCAGGCCGGCACCTGTGGCGTCACCGGCTGATGTCTCTGCTAGAGTCCCACATTTTTGTGCTCGGCTCCATCTCCAACATGTCAAAGAAGGGGTGCTTGAGGGCTTCGGCCAGGGTGATGCGCTTGGACGGCTCGTACTCCAGCATGCTCTCAATGAGGTCAAAAAGGCGGTGATGGTCCTCGGCCTCAGAGGTCAGATATCGCTGGGGAGATGCAGGGGAGAGGTTAGGGCCAAGGACACTGCACCCTGTCCCGGTCCAGTCCCTGGGCTGAACAGCTAAGCTGGGGGAAGACTGGTTTGTTCAGACCATCGCTCATCCTAGACCTGAACTCTGGGCCGCTTTACCAAGCACGGAACTGCCGAGTTTTTACCCTCCCGCCATCTTTCCCAGGCACTTCCTGAGGTCTCCGTGCCCTCCTCCTCCTCCTCCACTTCAGATTAAGCTCAGGCTGCTGCAGTCTTCCTAGTTTATGTCTGAGACAGGCAAGGCTCCTTCAGGAAGACACTGGTCTGACCCCTTCCGTGGCCCAACCTTGCCCACAGGGAGAATCTTCACAACTGGGGCAGGCACTATAAGACTCTGCAATGAGAAAAGGATAAAGCAAACAGGTCTTCCTGCCCACCCCGCCTTACCCGCAGTGGTTTGCAGTTTTCCCTAACATAACGACCAGCAGAGGTGTTCTCGTCCCAGTCCAGGCGGCCGTGGTAGAAATATTTCTGTTTCCTGTCAGAGTAAGAGGTGGGAACAGGTTACACCCAGGCACAAAACGTCTTGCAACAGCATTGCGCCAACCCTGGCAGCACACGCTACTCAGGACACTGCAGTGGCGGAGACAACCAGCTCGGCAGGCAGCTTTAAAGCTCAATCCCTCAAGAGAGGGCCACTAGACATGAAGCAGGAGACTGCTGGCAGCAGAAGCCTGAGGTGCCCAGCTGGCCTTGCTCACCTCGTCTTCCGGATCATTCGAGAAGGAATTGGCCCCAAGATCCTCTCCATCATGGCGAGGTGCTCCCGGTTGTCATGTGTCTGAGAGAGAGAAATGTAAAGGGGAGGCATGGAACAGATTCCAGTTGTTCTACCTCCAGCCCTGGGCACTCCCCCATTCAGAACCCCTTGCTGGGCAACACCTGGGTCATCTCTACAAGACTGCAGCGACGGAGGGAACCCCATCGGTCCCAGAGGCTCCCGGCTGTACTGGGGAAAAA